AAAAGTTTAGATGGGAGAGTTGGGAGGTGTGGTGTGAATTTTAGTGGGGGGGGGAGGGTTGTAAAAGCACACCAAAGTGCAGTCTTATCAAGAAGAGCATTGCATTTTGATTCACTAATGCACCCCCCTCCCTTAGGCATTAACAGATGTTCATTAACAGAAATATTAGATTTTGCAGCCACTCTCAAGAATTTCCACGGTAGTGCTTGCGAAACAAATGGTTTACAAATTCCAAGCGTGTGAGAAAATCAAGGAAAGAGAGAAATTCACTTGAAATCTCTTTTAAAAAAAGAAACTGGGTGCAAAAGACTCCTCAGTTCCCCCCCTCCTTAAAATACAGGTGTCTTCTGTCTAAGGTGAATTGTATAACACAGTCTTGAGAAGAAGCTAGCCCATGTGCTGGTAGCCTTTGCAGATTTCTAAATGATGTAAAGCTGTATCTCAGTAAGATCTGCTGAGTCCTCCCATTTCAACGGGTAGGGTTAGTTTCTTTTCTTTTTTCTTAGCATAAATTACAAAACGTTGTCAAGTTTGAGTGACATTAGACAAGTGGTGTTTAGAGTTTCTTTTCTCGAGGGGGAGAGGTTATTGCAAAACGGAAGGATGCATCTTTGGGAATGATACAATCTACATCTGACAATGCGCAAGAATTTAGCAGAAAACACGGACCAGCAGTTTTTACGTGTGGAATCAGCAGTGGTGATCGGTACAGGTGTATTTATGTGCAATTGTGCAAAACCCCTTGGCAAAGTTGTTTTGTGATGAGCTGGGAGATTGGGCACCTTTGAGTTACATGCCTCTTTCATTAAGAATCAATGACAGATTCGAGTAAAAGGAAGTCTTGAAGTCTAAACTGAAGTCTTAAGGTCAGAGGTTGCATGAACATACAGTATAGTCCTTTTGCCTCCTGCATGATTGGAAAAAAACTCTTGATGCCGTCAATTGTTAAAAAATCTGACATTAACAATACTATTTCAAAAATAATGCAATAAGGCTTCAACCCCTTTTACCTATTTTTTATTGACCTTTATTAATCTTTTATCATATTTTATTGTTATGTTTGTCGTAATCACTTACAGCTAATAGCCTGATAATTTAATTCTCAATAAGTTAATTCTCTAATAGGTGGTATAGTCTTGTGTGCCAGAAGTGAAAAGGTTTCATTTTTATTTTTTCAAGAAGGGATAAGAAGATAGAATAAGAGAATAAAAAAAGTCTTGTCTCTCCATTGCCTAAGGGAGATGGAGAAACAGGTCCTGTTAGTGGTTTGCACTCAGGCAGTCCTCACATTGTAAGACCTTACAATGTGCCTGTGGTGTTGTAAAAGTCCTATAAAATCAATGGAGAAACCTGCAGTGGTCAGTGGTTAAGTGCAAAAAGCAATGCAGAGGAAAGGTGATTTTTAAGTATGGATGAGTCCCAGGGTGCACAGCTGGATGGGTGTGTATCAGTCTGAGAATGCAAACGCTTGAGATGCCTAAAGAGCTTAGAGATGAGAGGAGTCAATCATACAATTTACCTTAGGTCTGAACTAATTCATGTCATTCTCAGCTAATTCCATTAGGTTTCACTTTTTCCTGTGTCACTTCACAGCATTCTTTTGTTTTCTTTTTTTAAGCAGCACCCTTTTGATATGCTTCACAGTTAAAAACCTGGAAACCAGTGGATATATACAGGTATCATGCAGCAAATTCTTCAAGACTAGCTTCATAAAACAATATCTTGTTTTCAGGATTTCAGGATCAAGTGGATGCCCTACCTGCTATTAACTGCATGATTTTTCACTGAATGCCAACGCAGGATTAGCCATACTGCATGATGCCAAGTAAACTTTACAGGACATGTGTTTTTCAAAGTATTAAAAAAGCAGCAATAATCCATATTGAAAAGGGAACTGGGAAGTTATAAGGCAGGGTGTGCTGTTATAATGGGCATTGCCTCATATCTTGCTAAGTACCTTCTAAGTGGTCCTGCTATTTTCACATTTCCAGGCCAAGACCGACAAATCCACAATAATGCCAAGGAGCTGTGACTCACATCAGACACAGGAGAGCTTCATAAAAGTCCACAAAGGCACTGCATACATCAAAGTAATGGTGTGGCACAGTTTTTCAATAAGATTTCCCACAGGTGCACAATACTTAAGAATTATACAATTTTTGATTTTCATTCCTAATTGACACGTAGGTGGATCATTTAGTCATCAGTGACTAATAAATGAAAATGTAACTTTAAGTGTGCAAGCTGTACTGTGATAAGGAACTGTAACTTATCTAGGCAGATGTTTCCATTTTCCAAGCTGTGTGGGACAGCATGTTAGGTCTACTATTGGCCAGTGTGTGTGCCATTGAAAGCCATGATTTCAGCTGCATGTTCCCCAGTGCTTGTATTAAGACATGATTTGCAATTTGCAGCAGTTCCTTGTTGATTTATGGCACACTGGGGTAAATGCACAGTATGGTTCTGGGAAAGGGGGGGTGATCCCTGGGACAGGTTTTATTTCTGGAAAATGTGTATTTTGTGAATTGTTTTATATCCTTATGTTTTGGCATCCTGGCATTCTTTCATGTATAAAGTGTTTAAAAACACAGCAGCACAGTGAAATGCAATAAAGTGATTTCACCATAACATTGCAGTGATCTATATCAATATTTTAACTGCTGTGCATTGTTAATAAATCTACAGTATATAAGGGGTTGAAATGTTACAGGTTCACAGTTAAGCATCACTACAATAGTCACCATGTGTACAACACAGCTAGATGACGTAAGTTTTGTGGTCATTCTTATAGTATTTTAAATCATTCAAGGTTTAGGATTTGTCCTATAAAGCTACAAAAAGTCCCAGGTTCATATTTAGAGGCATTTCAGATTTTTTCATCACCTCTCAATACGAACTCAATATGTATCATACTAGGAAATTATTCTGGAAATCTCTAAGCTTGAGTTCAAGATATTTTGCCAAATTTAATTTAGATGAAAACATGTTCCTCCTTTCATTCTAACATCGGACCCTGCTTCATTATAATTAGCAATGACTTATCCTTTACAGAAAAGCAACTAATTTAATTCTAGGTGTCCTTGATATTGCGTGTCATAGGTCCTTCTCTGGCAGAAAGACTGATCAAAATCAGCACACTTCAGCTCTTTAGCCATCTACATATAATCTGGAGATAGGGGAGGGAGGTTACATAAGATAATGTGTGTTCTACAATGTACTGCTGCTAATTTGCTGTGAGGCAGGTCTGGGACTAACAGAAAGTTTAGAACTGACACCCACGCCTCAGAGCATCAGCAAGAGAAAAACAATGACACTTCTGGGCAGATGTTTCTTTGAGATCCTGGACAATTACACCTTTTTTACAGTTATTACAATTATACGGTTGCGGATGTGAAAACTAGCATCCTCTAACTGAAACAAGGATATCCACTATTATTATTAACCACAATAAATATTTGTAGTCAATTTTGTACTTACTGGTGAATACAATATCTTCTGAGTTTGTTGAACACTGTCCTTGTGCCAGTTATAGAGGTTATTGTGTGCAATTGTGTCAGACTTCACAGGGGGCAACAGTGTTGCTAGTTTTATCTAAATGGGTTGCAAGAAAAGTAAATGAGATCATATGAGAGATGTCTGCCTCATCCCAAAAACCTTTGCAACAGTGGGGCTGATTATTGTAAGAGAAGAAGAAGATTGGACAAATCTTTTTTTTAAATAGGTAGAAGTTTCCTGAAACTATTAAATCAAGTAAAAATTCTAAATGTCATAAACACTTGAGACTTTACATACTGTGCAAACAGTAATATTTAATTTCTAAAATGTGTTAAAAAAGGTTTGCAATATGCATTGCATTTTCTGCTGTATTTTTCTATATCCTTTTTTTAAATTTTAACACTTTTTATGATATAATATGTGGAAGCAAACTTAGGTTAATCTGTATGTAAAGAATACCGTCAGCAAATATATACACCCAGGCAATGTTTTGTGGTTACTGTGCAGCAGACAGTGAGATTTAGCAAACCTTAAGGAAAGGATGACAAATGGTGTCATAATCTTTTAAGGAAACACCCTAATGAGACTTCTGGTGAATACAGCATTGTAAAGGATTGTTCTTCATCTTATTTTTCTGAATGCCTCACTCTGATCATAATGGAACTGCACAATGAATGAACAGATTTGATCTCTTTGCTGATTCCAAAGGCCTTGGATTGCAAAATTACAGATTTTACTGATGTGGGAAGGAATCTGAAAATGGAAAGAACATGTGGTGATTGTAAAGGATTATGAACATGTAAGGGCACCCCTGTTGCTGGATTTTGAAATACAGTGTTTTTTTGTATGTGTATGCGTTTAACTGGGAGGTCACCTACAGTATGTAGTCCTGATTATATTAAGGTTATGTTCCATATATCATGGCAGTAGCATTACAAAATGGAGAGTTTGCTTTCATGTTTCTAGTTCTGTATATACTACATCCCTAGACAAGAAGACATATTGGGAATCCATATCTAGATTTTCCTAGTCTGACAAACTCTCAGAATAGAGTAATAGAATTGGATTTTTGTTGAGGTTGAGTCACTCTCCCACAGTATTTATTGTAAGTGCTGTTGCACCCCTTACATTCAAAAGCTTCCTGTTGGAAAATAAATGTAAACAGCTCTATCATAGCATCTGTAAAAGCTGGAAGTGATGGTTTAGACTTTGGCAGAGGTTCCTCTCTCGCAAATGTTGTTTCTTTTAAGGAGGTATTGTCAGAATTAATTGGTCACCGAGATTTAGAGATATGTCAGCACCTTTGATTATCCAATGCTACTTTATTACAAGAGGAATCATTTCGGTTGTGGCACCTTTTTAAGGATCTAAGGTAATGTTACAAGAACTGCTCACATCCAGAACTGTTGCATGCTACAGCTGAAAGTATTTCTGAGTTGCGAAAGTTAAAGAAAACACAAAACAAAGTCCAGAATTGTCTCAGGAAGGCAGTTGCCGTTAATGTAAGCTTTCGTTTCTGAGGAAAACAGGTGAATAGACCAAGGGAAAGTGGTTGCAGTCATCTCACCAACAAACTGGTCTATAAATAAGTTGTTAAGGTTAGTTTTCCTCAGCAGTTTACCAAGGGGATGTGGCTGACAGGCTGATTGCAGCAATATCCTCTAATACTGAGCGCGCTGATGAAGACTGGGCAGATCATGAGTGATATTCCCTCCTACAGTTTGAGTGGTTCACGTGGGGAGCTGCCACAGAGACCTCCTTCCTCTGCCTGGGTAGGCTATGTTTTTCTCTCCATCTGTTCAGCCACAGGGCAACAATGTGTGGAAAGCGGCTGTAAAAGAAACTCTTGTTTGTAGAGACCCATTTTAAAAGACCCTCAACCACATGAAGTTTCCCCACTAAATAGTGTACAAACATTTCACTGCCTCAGTTGAACAGCCTTAGCACAAAATCCATATTGATCTGCATTGTTCCCAACCAAGAAAATCGGTCGATTTAACCAGCCATTTGAGGCTGTTGTGTCTACGAAAGAAGAAAGCAGTTTTAAAAAAGAACTGAACATTAAAGACATGGAATTCATAATAGCCTCTCCAATCCTTAAAAGTGCCACTCATATTGTGTGGTGAAATGTTTAAATATGATACTGTAGGTGCAGTAAATTAATCAAATATAAAAATATACAGCCAGAAAGAAGGGAGGCAAGAAAACCATTACATTAAAATCACAAAAATAAATCTATTAATTTGTCATAAGAAAGGAACTGCAGTTAACTCTTTGAGAACCCTCTGCAATAAAAATGTAATGAAAGGACCTGATTGTGTAGCCTGTCAGTGTGAATTGATGGGCTAATCCTCCCAAACAGATGAAATCATGTTCTATTTTAAATTGTGTGAACAGGAAAAAGAATTCTAACCTTTGGCCTTTATGTGATGAACCTCCACCACGTGATGATATTGGATTCTTCTGGATATACTTGTGGCACCACACAGCATTTCCTAGGGGCACAACATTGCCTTTGAGTAAGCCATTCATAAAAAGGCCCTTAAAAAGCTGCCATGTGTTTCAGCGCTTTAAAACAGTCTTTTCAAGAACGTTTTGTGCACAGAATAAACAAATAAAGTGACAAGCCCCATTTTTGTTGCAGTGGTCCCATTAGAGTAATTGAACCGCTAAACTATTTCATGGGTTGACCCACAATGCAAGTCTTTTTTGGTCTCAATGCAATTCAGTAATGTGTGCGTGAAATCAGAAATATGTACTGTATATTGTTCTTCGCCATTCATATTAGATTATATGAAAAGGCCACACATAGAAGTGGGATTATTACATGCCCCTGTATGGGGAAAAGGGAAAACATTGCAGTAGAACGCATGAGATGAGATCAAGGTCCTGACTCCTTGGACACTTATAATTCTTAATTACTTCTTCAGATTCATGAATGAAATGGTGATGTGGTGTGCCAAAACATCAGTCGAAAATAACCTGTTTTGTGCACCGATAAGAAGGTGAAAGCCAAATAACATTTCATAATCAGAGGCCTTTTGAGGCAGACATATATGATAATTGTGAGGGCATATGATTGTTTGTCCTCCCAACAGAAACAGAAAATAAGTGAACTGAGTTAATTCTGGCTTCCCAGCCCTTAAGTAAAGCCTGATAGTCTTTACAGGTTTTAACAAGGTTCACATTTGATGGTAATGGTTTCTTTTTATGCTCCATGTATGTTTCAGAAGCTGTTACTTACACCTTCAGTTCTGAATGTTGGTCTTTATGGAATCGACATCAACTCCCTTGCACTCATTTCACAATAAGACATTTGCATAAATATTTGTAAGTTCATCAATTTGTTTTTTGGCATCAATAAATTCTCAGACTTGGATATGATCCCTGCTGATTTGCATTATTCATGTATTGAAGGTATAATATTTTACTAAGGTTTCCTTATACACATCACAGTCTCTGGGAAGGGCTTTGTTTGTGTACCAAAACAATCCTCTATTTATTTTGTGCTATGTGTCTTGCAATCATATACCTTTCCGTTAGAGCTAGTAAAACAGGTTTATAAAAGAGTGAAAGAAATATTTTTTAAACACAACCATGCATATTCCAAAAGGTTGTTTTTGTTTGGTTTGATGGCTTCATTGCAGCATGCCACAACATGGTGCACGTGTTCATTGCAGTAACAGGTACGAACACAGTCAAGTACATAGAACTGGAATTCAAATTTAAGGGCCTAGTATCCGTAAACAAACAAAGAAAAGTTGAGTTTATTTATTTTACTTTCTTGATTGCTGAGGGTTTACCTCTCAGGAGAGAAAGTAATCTGCTAGTAATTTTAGAGTACAAGCAATCTAGAAATCAGTATCCTACCAAGTACAGACTTGGGTGGGTTTGGCTTTACATTTGGTAATTTTTATCACTTTATTTAACAGTACAAATGTACATTTGCTAGCTTTATATAATGTTTGGACGAACTGTCAAGATTGCAAACTTGCTTCTCCAGACAGCAGTAAAAGCAGTACTTTTAGATTAGCATAGCATGATGTGATAGATGTAGATCAGAAAGAAGTGACATTGCAAATAAAATCTTTAGATTTTTAAAATGGCCATGTGGTGAAGGATGTTTAACACTTTTTAATGAAAGCTAAAATAACAAAATATGGTGGAATTTAACCAGGATCTGTCAGGTCTCTCAGGATCCCCCAACTCTGTGTCACACAGCACCTCCACAGACAGCAGAAAATTACACTATGCCAAAAGGCAGGGCCTCCTGCCACAAGAGAATTCAGTAGTTTGCCAGGGGGCTACCTCACCTTTTAACACGCTCAATGATTTGTGATACAACAAATGATCAGAACCAATTGTTTATAATTAAAAAGATTTTAAAAATGAAATTCAAAGTGCCAGGAAATTGAATGACTTAAATGAGGCCCAAATAACAAAACTAAGCCTATGACTTGAAGAATGACAAAAAAAGTCAGTCCAATGGGGAAATATGGGGATATGTCAACAGATTGTGCTCTTTTAAATATTGATTTTATTGACATTTAATTCCATATTAACATATACTGTAGTCATGGCTCACAATGTTTTCTTTAAATGCTCAAGGTATCATCTGAACAGCTGTATAAAGCAAATGCTTCATTTACTGTGGACAATACTGGGGACATGGTGGTATTATTTTGGTTGTGTGTTTTACATTATTGTTAAATTAAAATCAGAAGTTTTCATTTCTGTTCCTGTACAATGTCTGACACATTAAACAATAGAAAGACTTTGTAGTTTCAAAAGACAAAAGTGTTACTATTAAGACTATTTAGCTTAATTTAGCACCCAATCAGCCTCCATGCCACAGAAATTAACAGTATGACATGGAATAGAATTAACACTGACCTTTTTTTCACAAGGCTGTAAAATTCAAATAGACCCCCGCTTCAAGGAGTCTCAGCATCCTCTATAAAGCTTGCCTTGGTGACAAACGCGCCGGCCCTACTGTTGTTTATCCTGACGGAGTGTATTATAAAAACAGAAAGTCATATCTTCCTTTTGTGGAAGTGTCTTTAAGGATGGGCTTTGCACTCTGGGAAGGGGTTATATTTAGCAATTCCTTTGTCTGTGAACTCGGCAGTGTTTTGAGGAAGGAAGGCTGTTCTTGTCCAACAAATGATACTGTTTTTGACTTAGCAGGCAGGGTTTCTCAACTCACTTATGTGCATCCACAGGTCAAGAAGGCAACTCCCAGTGCTCAACAAAGGATATGCACCACTTAAAAAGCTCTGAAGTCAAAATGTTTTAAGGTTAGATCAGAAAAAGTGCGGCAAAACTGCAGAGAATGTCTTTTGCAGTTTTCTCTGTTGTTTCAGCAAACAGAGCGACTGTTTAGAGTGATCCTTCTTGACAGGGAGGTTTGGAATTTCTTTTCTTTCCAACGACAGTATGGAAAGACTTATACACATCAGGTATTTTAGTTGATTCATCCTGAATGCTTATCAAGTTCAGCCATTCATAACATATATTTAATGAAAGCCATACTGATGCCGAGATACGAGTCTGAAATTCATTTGGAAATTACACTGATTATGTTTCAGTTGGTTCAAAGCCGAATTGATGGCTTTATGTCTACCAATGTCTTCAGTAATTATTGTGTTTTGCTTAGTTCCTTTTGTCAGGCACATTGAGAAGATTCAGAATCTGAAAAGCAGTACTGTACAGCAATAATAACCATCAAAATCATGGTCATCGTCATCATTGTTCATTAGGTTTACGTTACACATAAGCATCAAATTAAGTAAGTAAGACACAATGGTCCTGTTTTGTGGGGATGTAAATAAACCAGTAGGACACACATGGTACATGCATGTGACAAAATAGGAATGTGTTAATGTGCAAATCAGGTCTTTTCCTGAGAAATCATTTGCATTATGAAATAAAATCAGCCCAGAGACTGGGAAGGTAGCCCAGACTGCACAGGTATATTCATAGCATTTGCATCATGGCTGAACTGCCACTAGAAAGTGTATATCTAATCATTTTAAATGTATTCCTGGTGATTCTTTGAACATTTTGTTTTCTACCAGTTTACGAGCTGCTATTCTAGTGCAGTGGAACTTGGATGGCTTCCATTGAGCCTAGTTTTGTTTTATTTTCTATATAAAGATTTTATTAATAATAGTAATGGTTTGCATTTGTACAACACTTTTCATCCCGAATGATCTGAGGGGCTCGCTTCATACACCAAAGAAGTACAGCACCTATCTGGCTGATGTGTAGTAATCATTCTGCACTAGAAAGCCCACCGTACAGCTGACCAGGTAGAGAAGTGAGCACATTACAATCAAGCCAAAGAGGAACATAGACAGACCATTGGGGTTACTGCTTTCTTTAATGAGCAAGTTGGGTGATGCCATGTTTACTTATTCCTGTGATTTAGAAATGTTAGAAAATGCATTACCAAAAGAAGCGATATTGGAACATATGTCGAATAAACATTGTGTATTATAAAATAATATTTTCCAAATAAAATGAGCACATGATTAGTGATTAAAGAATTTACAGAACATCAAAATTGATCATTGGATGAAGATTGTTAACTGTCCTGCAAGTACCGTAAATAGTGTTTTGTCTTTTTTGCTCCTTTCAATGTACCGTAACTATATTACTGTTTTGGCCTGATTAGTTAGATTTTCATTCTTTTTGAAGTTGTCCTTGAGCAATTATACTAATCTCTCCTAAACTGTAAGTGGTGAAATTTATTTGGGGAAAAAAATATTTTTGAGTGGAGAATCTTAGCTTGATTTACCACCCAGAAGCACATACAGTACATAAGAATTTTGTTGAACGACAAAAGAAGAGTTTTTGGAAAGTGTAGAATAGCCCTGTTGTATGTTAACAAGAGGGGAAAACATACAAAAGACATTGAGCAAAGCACCCACACACACTCCCATAAAAGAAGAAAAATTCAGCCTCAATAAATTTACATTTGTTTTGTTCACGCGCAGAAATACAAAACAAGTTAGGGGCAGTTTTTCCTTTCAGAACTGGATGTGGAAGCTGGAGCAGGACAGGACATCGAATCTCCCCACATCCCTCATTAGATGTATGGTCCAGAAAGACAATACAGAGCTAATTTACTAGTGCTTTTTTGTTAGCAGCATTTGCAGCTGTATCTGTGACCTTATGATGCCAGAGCCTTGTTAGGGGACAGCCTGTGGAATCAATTGGAGAACAGAGACCCATGAACCCCCCACCCCCAACTCCCACCCCCCCCCCCTCCTCACAATAATCTCAGTGGAACAAGGGTATTCTGCCTGTGGCCTGTTACTAATGCACGTTTCTATGAAGCTCTCCAACAATGCGCGTTCGTACATGAAAGTGAAGCCTGGCTCTCTACAGCATTCGGGAGCAGGCTACCCGAAGCGTCTGCACTTGAACTGTGCCCATTCATAGGAGGGCCCCTTTTATCCCCCCGCACACTGAGCAAGCTGCTCTGAGCCTTAATTCTCCTGACCCCTCAATGCAGTCGGATATTGTCGCCTAATCCCTTTTTTCATCCATCCTTATTTGTGGGTTTGACTTCTTTCTCTTCTCAGTTCCTTTTTCCCTTCCCTTTCTGCTACCCCCCTCTCATTCTTTAAGTCTCCCTCTCTCCCTCACTCTCTCTAGGCCCCAGCATTCCTTAGCTCTTCCTTACATTAGCTGCTTTGTACAATGTGCTCCCAGTGTTAGGGGATTAGCCATTGAAGAGACTGTGGCAACTTCTCTGCATAGCTCTGCACAGGAGCAAGGGCTCAGAAGGGATGGGGCTGTGTGAAAAGGAATTTAAGAATAGGTTGAGACTGGGAGACAGACAGTAGAGTGAGAGCGAAAGATTACAAAAAGACAGAAAGGGGACAGAAGTCAGGGGTTTGGTGATCATGGTGGTAAGGATGTATTAGATCTTATACATCTTGAGAAACATCCTGATTGGGAGTATGCTATTGCACACAATTAAATTACAAAGGAATAGTGTCCTGGTGTGAATTTACCCAAGCTGTTTTTCTGTATACCGTCACTTAGATAAGAATAAATCATTGGAAACATACAACATTCATTGCACATTCCCCTTGGCAAAATAACACATAATACACACCACTGTATTAATTTTACGAAGATCCACTACCCATCAATTTTGATTTATTCCTTCTTATTACATTAACATAATATACGTTTGTAATTAGTTATAGGCTAAAGTTACTGGATTTAAACACAAAATATCACCACTGTAGTACACATCATAGACAGTAAAAGTATAAGTATTAGTAGGTAATTATTGCCTTTTAGCAGTAATACATGCTTAAGGTATTAAAAATGTATAACTGGCAAATTAGTACAAATAAGTTTTACAAAATGTACACACTGTATACTCTGTAATCTAATGTAATAGACATCAGAGAAATGCTGCATTGCAAGTATAAGTAGAAATGATGCAGGAATGCCTGATTTAATGTTCTAAAGTTAAAAGTACTAAAACAAATGAAAATAAATGCATGTATCGTGGATTTTGTCAGGTTAGCTGCTTTGCTTGAGTGTGTTGAGTGAGCATGAAACATAAAATTTGTTACATTGGTCCGTCTAGACCAATATTTAGATTGCATTATGGTTGTCTTGTCTGAAAAGTACAATCCTTATTTCTTAGGCCTTCCAGGACTCTCAGACATCCATCTTCAACATTCCAATAAGCAGTGCAGTGTTTTTAATTTACTCTTTTGCCCTGCTTTTGGTTAAATTTCATTCATTTTAAATTCATTGGCCAACAAAAAAGGATTTATTATTATAAACAACCTGGCTAGAGAAAAGATGTTTTGACACGAAGCTCTCAGTCTGCCAGCAACACAGAATTGTGGCTTCTTCTTCTCAGTTCTAATTCTCTCTGCTAATCCAAAATATCTTCAGATGTGCAGAACTGGGGCTTCAACGCTCTGACACACCCCAGAGGACCTGTCAAGTACAAGCACTTTTCAGAAATCATTCACTTAATTCTCACTTCAAAATGGATTACATATTGTGACCATTCCTGTTTATGTAATGTTACTTAGCTTAATTTGGTAATTCACCTTGTATTTGTACAGCTGGTTGTTTTCCCAAAAGGTATTCCTGACAAATATGGCGTAAATATACAATAATACAAATTAATAAATATTTGTTGTATTTATATACTCCCTGCTATATTCCCTAGGAATCCCAAAGCAACTTTACAGCTAGGACAGGACTCACTTTACCCATCAATGAAGTGCAGCCTCTCCTGGGAGTAGCACTGCAGCCATTCTTTGCCAGAAGCCAACAGCAAAGCAGGTGGAGGAATAAGAAGTTTAGGGAGGCCAGAACGAACAAAGTGGAATGTAGTCAGGACATCAGGTTAAAACCTCTACTGTTGTAAAACAATGCTGTGGGATCTTTAAAGACCAATTAGTCATGACCTTGGTTTCACATCTCATCTGAAGGAAGGAATATCCTATTGCAGTGTCTCCCCTGTCTTTACTGGAGCACTGGTTTGGAAATTCAGGTCTAGAGGGAATGGTACCACCTATCATAGCGGCAATCTGGTTTTCTGGATTTAGAGGTCACCCATTCCAGTGCTGACCAGTCCAAGCCTTGCAAAGCTTCTGAAACCCGACAAGATCACCCTAGCTATTCATAAATACGCCTTTGAGACCTGATCGTCAAGGGACGTAAAAAAGTTATTTTGCTTAAGTATTAGAAACAGTTGTATCTTTTTTGTGTATGTGTCACAAAACGTTATTCACCTTTAAAATATTAAAAAATCAAGTCTTGTGGGTTTTTAAAAAAAAAATTAGAACAAAGAATAAACAATAAGCAACAGGGCTGGGCTGAACAGCCTGTAGGTGTCCTTGACATTGAAATTTGGTGGTAGGCCTGGTCAGTCTAGGCCACGTTTTCAAAAATCCTGAATGTAGGGGTCAAGAGTCTTGACCCGTTTGACCAAAAGAGTTGCAGGCCCTAGATCAATGACAATG